AACTGCTCAGTTTCTATAGTTTAAACCAAATCAGGACCAAAGCACTGTATTGACTTACTAATGACATGTAGTTAACCGGTGATCGTGCTTCTTTTATACTTCTGTTCAAGCTGGCTCCTTTTTTTTTCAAGTCTCTCCAATTCCCCAGTTATTGTTTAATCTGTCCAATGGTTGTCTCTTCTTCAAGATAAGCAGTTTGGAGCAAATGCCTAGTTAACGTGTATTTGATCCAGTTGCATGTGAGTGCGCACACAGAGTTTGTACTCACGTTCTCCTCTTAGCAGGTGCTGTTATCCACACTACTTACTAAGGGTGGGCTCTGCAAGCATCCCCATGCTGCCCTAAGAGTTACTGCCCTCAGTGAATAGCAGGTATAATAATTTTTACAGTATTTTCTAGGTGGTCCTCTCTATCCCCCAGAGCTCTGACTGCAGCAGTGGGAGGTGAGGCTGCATCTCAGCAGTGAAAGGGTGAATGGCTGCAGATCTCTGTCTTCAAGGGGGACACGTGCACTAGGATGTAGCTACCGTAGTATTGGAGGGTGCTAACATAAATAAGGCATAACTTAATTAAAAACTGCCATCAGATCATCAGTTTCTGAATGTGATTTTAGGGCAACACAAAATTGTTTTGCTAAGGACACCATGTGAATTTCTGATAGTTGTAGGGGCCAAATCAGATACTTCTATTACAGTCCAAGAGGTTAGGAAGTCTTTGGTAGTCTTTCTCAAAAATTATTAAAATACCAAAGTAGCAGGCAGTGCTGAGATGCATATGGCATGAGATGAGTGGCATGTCAGAACCTACTGAAGAACAGAAGCAGATGAGAAAATTACCTTCTATTTTTCCATAAAGGCCATTGGAGGTATTATATGTAGAATAAAGTCAGGCAGATATTTGGTGACCAAAGGAACGTTCACTTTTGATTTCTGTGATAACAGAAATAACAGCAGTGTTATTCTCCAAACAGAAATAAGAATACGCTTGAAAGAAAGTTATGGTGGTTTGGCAGTCCTCCCATAAGGTTGGGTAGTATGAATAATTCTCTGTGGTTTGTAAGACTCGCATTAGAAAGTTAGCTCTTAAATGTTAACTTGGCCAGTGAAATTCCCTCCAGGCGAAGACCCCGTGTCTCCCTTGAGCTGTACCGTGGGAATGGCCCCAGTGCAAGTGTGGGTGGTGTTAACACCATCGTATTCCCAACGACGACACATTCTCAAGGACGTAACCATTTAGTCACTATGTTTTGGACACCGTAACTACAGCTCAGCTGAGGGAAATGATTTTGTGGCAAGTCCACTTACCAGCTGATGCAATTCCAGTGACATCCAAATGTCATCTCCTATGTAAAACATAAAGCTGAGAATATCTGAATTTAAACTGCCATGCCTGGGAAGACAGGATGTTCTTGCATAATTTGAAATTTGGGGGAACTTTCTTGTCCTTGCCTAATAAACTTTTTTCAATTTTTTTTAACCCCCTTCTTGATATTTTATGGCCACCAGTGAATTAACAATTAACTAAACAGTATTGTTTGTGGTGAGTATCAATTGAAATTAAGTAGCGAGAACAAAATGACTCTGCCATTTTTGCTAACATCTAGAGCTGGCACAGAAGGATGTAGTAAAATCTTTTCGTTTCAGGTGTGTGCTGTTACAGTTGCACTGCAAATGTTTGAGTTTAACGTCTCGCTGATTTAGACATAAGCATTTTTTGCACGTTTGTCTTCAGATCAGTGTAACTCCAGTGCACTGTAGTGGAGTTCTCTGTAGCAGATGGGTTGTGCTCCCAGCTCTGCACATCTCAGCTAGAGTATGGGTGGCATTCTTTGTTTGGAAAATGTTGATCTTGGGACACGGTCAGGCAATCAGAAGTGAGCAAGGTAGTGTGCTGCCAAAAGCCGGTTCCTTTGAAAGAGAGGCAGAAACTCAAAACATTGTGTTCCCACTCTGTTACGAACATCAGGTGAAATGCAATAGCGTTGCTCACTGGTTCAGGGTAAACCATTTTAAATGCAAAATAGAAGCATGCAGTTGGTTTCTACATCTCACCTAAGAGGCTGTCACCCCTGGTGACTGTCTGAGCATGTCCTCTGAATTCATGATAGTTTTGATACGGCGGTGTTGGATGCTCTGCAAATGAAGATAAGATATGTGGGTGGATTTCTCAGCCTCTCCCTAGCCCCTGGGGTAAAGCTACCTCTGGATTCATCTGGCTAAAGGGGAGCTAGAAGAGTCTGTGAGCTGAGGTTTTATGCTGGAAACACTCCTCTGTCACAGCAGCCGTGTTCATCTGAACGCACAAGAGGAGTTGCAGCCGTACAGCGCCACTGTCACAGGGCCCCAGCAGAAGCCAGATGAAATGGGAAGGGCTGAGGCTGGACTTTGGTGCAAATGGCAGGTCAGCAGACGGGAGAGGACAGTCGGGGTGTCCCTGCTCAGAGTGCTAGCACCCATCTCTGACTGGCTTCCCACTGCTCCTCGTCTTCCCAGCATGCTGCGGCTAGGAAGGGTATGGCACAGGCCAGAGTGCCCTTCGCCTGTGGGGGTGCCCCTGAGCAAGGGAAGGGGTCTCCACACTGCTGTCTGGGTCTTCCTGACCTCCCCTCCATCTCCCAGAGCTGTTTAACGGCCTCCTTAAACTGCTTTTGCCATCAGTAAAATAAAGTTTGTACTGTTCTTCACTTCTGCTCCTGTGTGGTGGCCCGTTTGGGATAAGTATTCCTCTTAGCCTAGCTGGATGCCAGTATGTGCATAGAACTGTAATCCAGTATCTACATCTGTTTTAATTTCAGAAAACTAACGTACCCACTGTGATTCATCCTCCAGCTCGTCAGCTGCCCCATTCTTAGGACAGAAGAGTTGAGGAAGGAGAGTCTGACCATTTGCATTAATCCCTCTGCCCTGCAATACTCCGCTGGACAGTCAGGTCATAGACCGTCAAACAAGAGCCGCTGCTTTTGTGCTAGACACTTTGCAGGAAGCTGGCTAACGTATGATTTTCTTTACAAGTTGGGAGGCTATTGACCCCGCAAGCTGGCATTGGGCAGCTGATGTGCAGATATAGCCAAACACCTGTTCCTGGTTTTCTGCTTAGTAGCAGCAGTGCCCCTGTGAGCAGAGACAATAGGAGGAAATCTTTGATTATAGAAATGGCAACCTGCTAATGACTTCCCTTCCTGCTTTCTCTCCTCTCAGAACATCCCCACCTTGGGAAGCGTAGCAATAACCATGGCACTCCACAACTGTGATGAGGTGGCGGTAGCTGGGTTTGGCTATGACATGAGTTCACCCAATGCACCGCTGCACTACTATGAGAACATCAAGATGTCTGCCATCAAAGAGGTAGGGAGCTCCTGCCGAGCACATCTTCCTCCCAAGCCCACCGACCTCCCCGACTCCAGAGCCTGACTGGGATGGTGATGTCAACTTACAGCTTTCCTGTATGGGTCAAAACACAACTCCACCCATGCATTTGCCTGTAAAATTCTAGATATTCTCCCAAGCGCAATGTGTGTTAAAAACGGTTATTTCTGCTGGGAAAAGTTCTCTGGAATGTGTATATAATGTGATTCCTCCTTTTGAGCAGCAAGGAAAAGATTCACATAAATGTTAACTCGAGTAGGGTGAAAGGGAGCAATTCTGCTCTGGCGTTGAAAAGATGTGGCCACGTCCTGCTTTTTGATTCATTGTGTTGTTCTCTAATCCAGAGGCTTCTTTTGCTGGATGATCCCCTCCTCAGCCCCTGTGCAACGTGGGGGAGGTGAGATTAGCCCGTGCATGTTCGCTCTCAGCTGCCTGTTCAGCAGCAGTTAGCTAGTGTAAACACATCGTGGCTCTATGGAGACTGCTTCTTAAAGCCAGATCTACATTAGAAACGTTTTCTGGTACTATCACAGTGAGATGAACAGCATATTTAGAGGAACAAAAGTTCTCATGCTGGTATAATGCAGCAGTATAAAGATGTTCTTTCAGGTCTGTCCATTCCCTGTACCAAACTAGAGCAAACTTGAACACTGGTCAAAGCTTCTACAGTGGGAAGGTTTGCTTCTTTTTTGGTAGAGCTCAATCTTTCCCAGCACAGATGTGGCCCGGGTCTTCCTAAGATTGCTTTTCCCTCTTCACTGCCTCCTAGGTAGAGAAACTTTCTCTATCCTACTCCACGTTGTGAGAAGTTGTGCTGTTCATGGACAGTATCTGCCTCCTGGCACTTGGCATTTGTTCATCTCAAGCACTTTGCTATTGATCCAGGCCAGGAGGGAAGCTGGGAAGTTGTGTTTTTCCAAATCACAAGATTGTACGTGTCTTAGGACTCTCACAGGCTGCAGGCTGCATGAGCCTAGGCAGACGGAGAGGAATTAGAAACCAGTGATTAGTCAGCTTGAGAAATGAGAAGAGCATGTCTAATTATCAGAGTAATGAGGCTTTGGAACAACCTCTCAGCAGAGGCCAAGAGAACAAACTGAGTTTGGGAAAAGACTGTGAGGAGGTCCCTAATATATCGAGGGACTGGACATTGTGGTCCTGAGGTATCTTCTGAACCTGTGGAGGTAGCAAGAAAGTCTGCCTTGCTGAATGGAATAGCCATGGATTTAATCTGTCCTGGCTGGGAGAGCAAGTGCCCATTAACAGGGTTTAAGGGATATGTCCAGAGAGGAAAACTGAATTGAGACACTATGTACAGAGGTGGTGTCTTGCTTGTGAAATCCCTGGACAGAAAATAGCTGAGGAATATCATTCTTGCAGAAATAGAGGAGGTGCCACCATGGGCTTGCTGAGTTCTGACTCTTCCCTGGGTGTCTGCTAATAACCACTGCCTGAGACAGGACCCTGGGCTACCCCAGCCCAGGTCTGAGTCAGTACAGCTGGTTCCTTAGTCTTCCAGCAAAGACACGACTACACCATGAAAATGGATGCAGATGCCTGGCTCCAGCAGTGGGTACAGAAACTGTTCATGAAAGTTTCAGGAAGGGCTTTTGTCTCTGGTGCCACTGTGGCAACTCTGGTGAATCGGCTGCCTTTGGTGGAGGATCACTCTTGCCCAGTTGTTCCTCGTGTCTCATAAGGGTGTCAGTCCCACGGTCTGCTCTTGGACGTGGGGACACTCACAGCGGGTGTCCTGTGCCAAGCCTGTTTTGCAACCTGGTAGGCATCTCTGACCTCAAGGACACCTACACAGGAGCTGACAAGAATAAAGTCTTCTTGCTCTTCATCCTTATGTGGATCAATGGGAAAAGTTGGCAAAAAGAGTTGGATTGACAGAGTCTCTGGTTGAAGTCACCAGTCTCGATCACTTGGATCTTTGATTCTGGAGGCCAGCACCTTGAGTGGGATGCAGAAGCCAGTGGAAGACAGGTGGGAATCACACCGTATGCGGTCTCAGAAATAAACCTTGCATGGCACAGGGCAGTAGATGAGGATGAACATGTGAAATGCAACCAGTACGGTCTCCTAGAGAGACCAGCTGGTGCTTGTTTTGTCAGGCCGCTGCTGTCTGGAAGCTGTCAGTCATCACGTCCAGGATGTTCTGTATGGAGGTGAGGGAGCGTTGAAAGGTTCTGGTGAAGCCTCACTAATTCAGATGTCAGTGGATTTGTTTCTGCAGCCGGGGCTGTTGATGAGAGCTCTGCAGGCCAGTGGAGCTGGTTCTAGGAGGAAGGTTCCTGTTCCATTTGAAGGCTGGTTATCTGATATGTGTCTGCCCATCTAATCCTCACATCCTCACCCACAGGCTCCTCTTACGTTTTGCTGCCCTGGTACAAGAAAAGCCATCTGTTCCCAAGTATCAATAATTAATGCTCATCCTGCCTCTGCCCCTCCCAATATGACAAATTGTTTGTGATATTGTGGAATGTGAAGAGCAGAGAGAGGATTGCATTTCTTTCTTTCCCATTTAATATTAATGGTAGCTGGTAATTGTTAGTCACCTGAGGGTGAAGTTGAAAGGTGAAGGGCACGATAGTTGGGTTGTGTCTTCTGCAGTTGCCTTCAAAGAACACACAAATGTAGATTTGCCCCAGTCTAGACTGGAAGCATCCTACACGCTCTGCTTGAAGAGGGTCCTGCATGTGGTTTGCAAATTGGGAGGCTGCCCTGCATTAGCACCTTGTGCCAAACATTGCCCTTGGCACTAGTGAAAGAAGACTGACCCAGAGCCAAGCTCCACCAAGGTTTTTGCCTGTTCCTTCTGCTCTGACAACCAAAGGCCCAAGAGCATCCACAGCATTTTCCTCAGTGTTACTTTGGACCTCCAGGATTGTGTCCAGGTCTCATTCTTCCTAGTCCTCCTCTACATTTCAGCCTCTAAAGGAGCCACTAAAGCAGGCTGTGCTTTGAAAGTATGCAAGTATCATCTTTGTCCTCTGGCCTGCTGACCCATGCAGGCTGGAGTACTCATTCCTGAGTGGGGAAGAGGACAAGGTTTGCTTAACGTAGCAACATCACAGCACTGAAACAATTGCTATGGGATGCAGCTGTTCCATCATAACAAACATCTCACACAGGAGTTTGACCAGACTTTGGTGGGGCAGCACCTCTGTTTCTGAAATTCAAATTTTTTCCCTGACTGCTGGACTTCTCCAGCCCGGATGACCCAAAATCTTCAGTGTTTAAGCCTGGAGAGCAGCTGCAGGGAAGCACTCCAGCTCCACCCTGAAACCATCACTGTCTTTACAGAGAAAATGTAAACACCAGTAGCATCCTGGGTCTGGAGGTGCCACACGTGTGTGGGACTCGTAGGACCCTCCCTGGGAACATCCATCGAGCCCCTTGCCTTGCCTGGTGTCCGCAGGAGGAACTGGCCTGCCGGCGAGCGTGCGTCCTCTCGGCAAGGTGTGCCATTGATTTACACTTGAGTCCTGCTTGACATCTCTCTGGACACCCGTGAAACGCTGTGACTCATCTCTGAGGAATTTGTTCTGATTACATAAAAAAAGCCAGCAAAATGCATTCGTTTGCTCACAGCTGGGCGGAGATGCCTCTCCCATGCCAAGACTGAGGTGATAAAATCTCTGTGGAAATGAATGTGATTTTTCCTGTTGCTCTGTGGGACTGGCAGCTGAATTTCCAAGAGGCGAAACAGGCAGCACGAGCGTATAGTTTTGCTTAGTCTGTGCTTTCCCCGCAGGGGTAAAAGCCCTCGAGGTCCAAGATTGTGCTGCAGTGGCT